TTTTGCTTTTCGCGCGAAACCGTGTAAATGATTCTCGTGATTTTTTTCTACCAACAATTCGAACAACAAAGGCAAAATAAGCCCACTATAGCCCTGTAACTAGGAAATCAACGCCCATTTTGTTCAATGAAAATGAAGCCTTTGATACTAGTGTACATACAGTGTACAGTGATCGTCCCATGCCCAACTACGAAGAAACTTTTTTCTAGCTTCGTGTAGCGAACAAGACTGTAAACGATATGCTTAACTTACCAGTGTTTTTGGGAAAACATGCCCGCCACATTTCGTTGCTATCAGTTGAAACGGTCCAAAGATGCTCGGAAGAGATGTATTAATCTCATGAGTCCGAAATATTCCGTGATCGTCGCAGAAAACAAAGGATTTTCGTCGAGAAATCATCTGGGACTTTTTCTCGTCGATCTGGGACTTTTTTGCCATTTTTTGCCAGGCCTCGCGCTATCGCGCTCTGTTCCAAGCCTCCTCTGGTCACTCGGATAGCGCGAACAGGCCTGGGTACGAGGCTGCGTTCGAGGGGTTCGAGGGAGATTTTCAACGACCTGAATTTCCAGATGCAGCTCATCCAAGGTAAGTTTCAATTTGTCCTGTTAATCTTTGGTATCTGATTGATAATGTAAAATGTTTCCATGGTCATTTCACGCATTAATGCTCCCGTTTACGACCCTGTTAAGCCATGCTGTTTTAACTCGCAAGTGAATATTTATTTAGATGACTTTCAATTATCGAAAACTGTCTTTATTCTAGCAAGGTTTTGCCCTAATAAATTATTTAAATCGGCGGACAAGGAGTGCTTGATACTAGTTCCACGCTCCGACCTCTTTCGACCTCGCGATTTTTATGCGTTTGATCGTTTTGAAATATCGCTTTTTCTGCCCTTTCTCCGCTAAGATGCGAGACAAAGGTTTCAATTTCTTTATGCTAAGTCCTGCGAAGATGGGACATTTTTTCTTGAATTCGCTCTTTTTTCGCTGATAAAAACACAAATGTTATCTCTTGAGGGTATGATGAATGTTTAAATTCAATGGGTTATGGTATTAAAGCTTTTTTATTTCATTATTTTAGGTAAAATTGGTTTCTCATGGTGGCTTCCGGTTGCAACCGCGCGTGGCGAACTTGAAATATACAGGCCAGCAAATGTCATGGAATAGCATGCCGTAGGACCTCAGCTGGCGTATAAAACCTTTAAAGACATTTTGATAATTCTTTTAGGATCCGTTGTAGCGAAGAAGTGGGTTTTTTTGTATATGTATCTTGCCATTTCTTAATAAAGCTTTTTTCTGTTTATGTTTGACAAATTATGATGCTCAGCGTAAATTATTGAACTGACAACATGAGCACCGCGATCACAAACAAGCAACGAAGAGAAATCTCACACCTAGAATATGTATTTATTTCTTGACAAGTACGTGGAAATCGCTTGTTAATCCATGGAGAGCTTTATCAACGTATGTTAAAACAGCACGTACTGAAGCAAAGACCTTCCTCGCTAGCTTCTAAGAACATTTGCGTGGACTGCCTATCGTAAGGCTAGTTAACTCATCGTCGGCGGCCAAAATACTCTCTTTGACTTAACAAGTGATATATTTGGTATAGTAGTACTAAAATCGTAGATAGATCGACACTGCAAAGGTACAGAGAGTTTTATCGGCAAAACAAGTCGCTTTCCACCGTCGTTCAACTGTCACGTCCCTGTTGAACTGATAGGATCACGTGCGTTCGGAAGCTTGATAATATGGTATGAAGCGATGCATCATGGGATATATGAAATTCCCCCCTTTGACTGAGGCTGTATTGAACACCATTTATTTTTATTTTTGTAAGAAAAAGCGAACTTTTTTTGACAGCCACGTAAGGAACATTCCATTTTTTTCTCCCACAGTTAAGAGCTGGCAAAATTAAAATGAGATTTTTATTTTGTACAGGTTGAACGTGACTCAGTTGGTCACTCTTCTCCTTGACTCCAAATTAGTTTCAGTTCTTTGTCACTTTGGAAATTTTGGATGCGGAGATGGAGGATGGACACCGGTCATGAAGATGAACGGCAAAAAGGTAAAACAGGTTTTATTTCCTTTTTTCCTTAGTTCGGCGACGAGGGTGGAAAAAAAATGTGTTACAAATAAATACTGGTTTGCTTCCGTCACAAGTAATTTTCAATTATTCTAGCCTGCGATTATAGCCGTTTCTCTTTGCTCCTCACCACCAGGAGGAACGTCTGCGCCGATCAGCGACAGAAATTCTATACTGTCCGGAATCTGGTCAAGGGCTCTGATTAAAGGACATGAGTTACATTGTTTTACCTATTGTTAACGCATGACAAACAAAAGACAAAAGGCCACAAAGGTCAAGTGCAAACGGGGTAGTAAACGTGATGAATCTACTACAAAAAAGTTAATATTCCTGGAATAATTATATTCTTCTTTAGAGAAAGCATCTGAGTTTTACTGGAACTCGTACGCAGTAGAACACAAAACTTTGCCATAATCGACTAGGTGAAACATAGAATCAAACAAATTTACATTTGGAACGCCCATGGCTACGGGATTTATTATGTAAACAATGATTTACGTCATCAGTATGGAATTTCTGCCGCTTTACACTCAACTGATTGATGGGATAAAAGCAATGTCAGGTGGTATTTCAGGGGGCTAATAAGTGATGGGATTTCCTCGGTGTAAGAACCTGTGAGCTATTCCTTTGTTTTGCGCCTGTTGTTTTCTTTGTTTTACATCATTCGTGAGTTTCACAGGTTCTTACACCGAGGATGAACCCAAGTGATATATTGTGTCAATATGAGTAAACGCGGTCTAAAACGAGACGACGATTTATAATATCCTTGCAAAATGGACAATTCGACATTTGACGAGTTTTACGCCATTTTAACCTTTAATTCACATATGTAGGAGTCTAACGGTTCTAAAGATTGAAACTGTTACTGTATTAGCTTGTGTCAGGTTGCGATGTAATCAAACAAACTCGGAAAAGTGTTGTTTCTGTTTTCTTTGCTTAAATGAAATCATTATTTATAGCTATTTATCTATAAAAGATACTGTTTTTTTCCATAATTGTCAATTGTATCATAGCGAACGTTTCACTTCGACTCAATTCGCTGGAGCAACAAAAAAACCTTTAACCTTAACGGAGGGAAGACTGGATTCGACTCACGGGAGACCAAACTTCCCTCCTACTGGAACACATCCTTCTCCAAGATCTGCCTTGGTATGAAGATCGGTCAACAGATTAGGTTTATTGTCATCAACAAGAAGGCGAACTCCTTGTACTCTCTGATCGCTGGTGGGCAATACCGCAGCACCTCACTGGGTCGTAAAACGTGGAAGTCACTAATTGGTCCCCAGGGCTCCTTACAGATTGGCTGTAACAAGGAAGGATTTAATGCCAAGAGCTACGGGAAGCATTACGATAAAGACCTGGCTAAAGCAAGAATCGGTATCATTGGAAACGAAAAAGACGACTGTGGTAGATGCGACTCCAGAATTGGGTTTGGTACTGGAGGGGAGCATGATGACAGCAATGCATGTGGGAATGAGAATCCTGAAAGCGGAACACATACAAAAGGACTAGGTTACATCTTGGTACAGTGAGACAGTAGTACCAATTACAAACTAAGAAGCTTAAATCATTTTAGCAAGCTTAATCTGTATTGGAGATACAACTTATTCCAGTGGCGGCAAATTTTGTTAGTCTTTTGTCTCTACGATATTAAATTGGCCATCAATGACTCGTTTAAGAGTAAAATGCAGCTTTTTTTACCACGTGCATCAGTGGTCACAAGAAACCGTACATCACAATACAAGGCAGGGTGACCTTTTGTCATTAGAGACCTTAAGACTGAGGTTTTTCGGCAATTCCCGCAGCCAGAGTTATTACTAAATCACCCTTTGATAACGTGGCCAACTAATGCAAATGGCCTTTTTATGTCACAACAACTAGCACCGCAAAAATGTTTGCTAAAACGAAAAATCATGGTCAAAAACTAGACGATGATTTTAGTATTGCAAAATGCACAATTTGAAATGGACAATTAGTTTTACGCCACATGGAATTTTTATACTTCTTATACTGAGGGTCATGTAGCAGCTGCTGGGAAGAGAAGTCACCAATGGCGCGTTTCCCTGACCCCAAACAATACTAAAACAATTGGAAGAATGACATGTCATTTTTTCCTGCGACCAATTAGGAGAGACCTTCCGAGCAGTTCCTACACTACTCGGGTGGGTTATACTGAACTTGGCTTACATCGTTGCGCTGTATTTAAAGCAAACTTCGAAATGTGATGTTTCTAAAATATTTTCTTTTCTTTCCAACTCTCTAACCTTAACATTTATGAAGAAAAAAACGTTTTCTTGAATCTATCATCCTTTAAGGGAAAAAATGGCGTTGTTCTCTTGCTTTTGCACAAAATTTTGTTGCAATCAATAATTAGTCTAAAAAAGAGCAGTCAACTGTCAAGAACCAAGGTTCCCCCTCTACAGAGTCAGTTCGTGAATTTCTGTTTCTGCGCTGAATTCTTGGATACAAGAAAAAAATTATCGGAATAGCAAATTTTCAGCCTAGTCCCTAGGCGTTCTCTCTTGCCCCGTTGTCCACGCGAAGTCTGGGAAAGAGGGGGCGAAGGTATTAAACTTCTTAGTTAGTTTTTTTAATCTGTTGTCATTAAACGTAGCTTGTTTCGGTTGCGCTGTTAATTAAAACAAACTTTGAAATATGATGTTTTTTTGTTTCCAATTCTCCGACCATAACAGTGGAAGTTAGAGGGTTTAAAGGGGCTATGTCAGCTGGAGAGCATGTGCACTGAGGTTATGCAAATTACTTTCATCTGTCTAAATTCTATTGTTTTTAGCGCGTGACGTAAAGCGCGTCACGTACAGAGCGCCGAAATCTGGAACGACGGTTACAAGAGCAGAGGGTTTGGATAAAGATATTTTGATAGAATCTAGTTAAGGAATTTCTTCTCTGGTTATGCTAGATCGAGTTCCCTCTATTTCGTCGTCAAGAATAAAATTGTTAAGATAATTTTACTTGTAGCTTTGAATGAAAAACGCATGACATTGCCGTTAGAAAAATTCAACAACGACATATTGTTGTTGTCAAAATAATAAATCACAGTTTTATTTTATAAACAGACTCTAGACCAAAGATAAAGACCAAGACTGTTTCCGATCTTTAATTAGACTTGTCGGGCGCTATTTGGGCCAACGTTTTCAAGTTTGTTTTCATCGGCTCGCGCATGCGCCAGGGGTGAGATTGTCCATTCTACGTCACTTTCCGAAGCTTCTGAGACGGATTGGAATATTTTTAGAACAGCGTTTTATACAAAACATGTGAGCCATCCGTACGCTACTATCCTCACAAACTAAAAGAGTAGTCAATTGCAACTCATTTGAGGGAAGTTAACCTTGCAAACAAATTGATATGGTCATTGTGGGAGGATTGTCTCTCGCTACTCAGTATATTTAACAATTAGCACGGAACTGAAACTTAAAGACGCTACTATCCTTGGAAATGAAAATAGTGCTAGTCACTCGGGAAAGTAATTCCGAAAACAAGTCAAGTTGTTTTGGTCATCCTGAAAAATTGTCTAGCCTCTCCAGTCGCGACTCAGACTATTAAACAATTAATGATACAATGGTATATCGAAGACCCTAGTACAAAGCGAGGATGCGGAGTAGTACTACAGCCACGAAATTAAAAAAGAGTAGTGACTCGAGAAAAGTAAACTGTGCAAACAAAGTGTTATGGTCATCGTGAGAAGATTGTCTTTCGCTAGCTACTTCTTTATTTAACAGCTTAGGTACTGAAACGTCAAGTAAAGACATTTTGTTTGAGTTTCAAGGGCCGGGCTGCAAGGTTTTCCATTCCTTACCAAAACCACCCTACCCCTCCCTTACTAGGCAAGCTTGTTACGCCAGCTGGTGCCTAAAACAAACAACTCGCCGGCTGATTGCTTAAACCATGATGGATAAATTGAGGTTGCAAAAAAGGACATTTCTTAATCCAGCCTACTTGGAATAAAGTGCTTAAAACCTAAAAACAAAAACACATTTTTAACTGGAAGTACACATTACTACGAGAATTTCTCACTGGAAAAAAAAATTCGATTTGAACACAGCACAATTTTAATTTTGAATTTGTTTGAAACGTTTAACTTTGTCGCCATTTTGGCAGACTCTTCTGTTGTTTTTCTTGTACAAAACGACGCTGTTTAGTTCTGCCATAACATTGTTATATAGTGTTTCTCCTTCTTTTGCCCAGAATTTTGTATTTGGTGATTACGGAAATCGGTATACATAGAAGTTAAGTTCCAGGCCCCGGTTGTTCAAACGTTGGATAGCGCTATCCACCGGATAAATCACTATCCAGCCGATAAGTATTACGGAAATCAATTACGCTATCCGCTGGATAGTGATTTATCCGCTGGATAGCGCTATCCAACGTTTGAACAACCGGGACCAGAACTTCAATTAGCACCTATATTGAGCTCGATAGGAGAGGAGAAGTGTTACGTCATGTTACCATGGTGGCAAAATTTTTGGACAATAGGGAGATCGACGGTGGCGACAGCAACGAGAACGGCAAAAAGCAATAGGTTTAAATTAGCAAAACAACAACTTTGCTCGTGCTTCACGCTTTTTTGTACATTTCCTAGCCGTCGTTGCCCGACTGCGATATGAAACTTCCTAATTTCACGCGCCCACTTTATAGAGCAGGTGAACACAGCATAGAAATTTTCTTTTCCTTTTTGTAAACTTAGATCCTGTCCTTTCGGATTCAACACCTGAAATATGTCGCCAATATTTGACAAATTAAATGAAATGGAATAAAATCTACGAAGTTTGAAACAGTGCGAATTCACTTTTTAAGCGAAGTTTTCGGTTTGTTGTCATCCAGAAATTTTGCTACCATGGCAACGTGACGTAACGACTTCTCCTCTCTGTTGATAGTATGATTCCATCCACTTTCTTTGAAATAAAATTTAGTGTTGGCCAAAAGGAGTAACTTGAACAAATTGACGAAAGCTATCTAAGTTGAATGAATTTTGGAATTTCCAATCAATTGAATAGAATAGCTGTTTTTAGGTCTCAAAAAGCTCACCAACATTGTTAAAATTTCTTTGAATCACTTTTGGAACGTTTGTAAACAAACTTAAGTTTGAAATTTGAACTACCCAAACCACGTATCCCGCCCTTTTAGCTGGTGAGGCAATTAAAGTACGGACATGCATTTAAAACATAAATTCCACAGCAGGTGATTCCTTTTAATAAAGCGTTAATATTGAGTTTGTTAACTGTTAGGTGGACATAACTACACAATTACCATGTACACGCAAATCCGGATTAGAATTTGGTCTTGCGTTTCATTCAATTCTGAAGGGTTTCAATTGCATCGAAGTCCCAAAAATTTAGTTTAGACAGTTGATTCTCCATATTTGGAAAGTTGTCATAAAAAGGCTCCCTTTTTATTGATGCAACAGTCGTACTTAAATATTTAAGACTATAAACTAAACATAACTTAACAGCACTAATTATGATAAAAAAAACCCACGTAGTCTCTAAAACCTTATTGAATAGTATATTCTTCTTATTTGGCAAGTCGTCAAAAAGATATTGTATTTAAAGACTAATAAAAGTATAATTTAAATTTTAACTATTAATATTGGTCGAAAAACTGCATTAAGCACTCTCTAGCGTTGAAACAACATTTTCAAGTCAAAAGGAATATAGACTGAGGATTCCATGTTAATTCTTTTTGAAACAAATTTGCGATGGCTACTGATTGGCTACCGCTTTTATTCAGACCGGTGTCGTCATCGATGGTAGATTAAGGCATTTAAGAAGAAACTAAACGTGAAGTCTTTTCTAAAATAATTAACCTTCCTTTTAGCCCAAATCACACTAAAAATAATTTAGTATGTTCACAATTAACTAAAAAAAAATAAACTTTTAAGTTGACGCTCGAGACAATTGAATTAATATTCCCTTATTAACAAAGACGTAGTTTGATATAAAGCCATATTTTATTTGCAGTGCAGAAAACTAAGATATTTTCAAAGCCAGAGAGCCTTGGAGCTTAAAAAAAGAGATTATTAATTTTGGTAACGTTTCCTTTAAGGGGGGAATATCCAGATGACTTTTCTTTTTTTATCTTGTTTTTCTAAGAATGTTTGTTTTTCCAGAGATTGTTAATCGTAGTAACCAGTACGTTGGCGTATACAGTGAGTTGGTTGAGGTTTCAAGACTTGTCATTAATTGGCCCAGCCTGACTGAAGCGACGTTGGCAAGTCGTCAAAAAGATTCCTGTTTTTAGAGACTAATAAAGCATAAATTAAATTTTAACTATATTAGTCGAAAAACCCATTAAGCACTCCCTCGCGTTGAAATAACATTTTCAAGACCTTTTTTTAAGCCCTAGGGAACCTATCATCTTTTTGCTTGTCAAAAGGAATATAGAGGATTCCATGTTAATTCTTTTTGAAAGGAAAAGCGATCATGGAAATAAGATTTTTGGACACACAGAAAACGAATTTGCGATGGCTACTGATTGGCTACCGCTTTTATTCAGACTGGTGTCGTCATCGATGGTAGAATAAGGCATTTATGAAAAGACTAAACGTGAAGTCTTTTCTAAAATATAACCTTCCTTCTACCCTAAATCAAACTAAAAATAATTTAGTAAGCTCGTGCTTTTTATGTTGTATGTTCACAATGAACTAAAGAAAAATAAACTTGTAAGTTGACGCTCGAGACAATTTAATTAATATTCCCTTATTAACGAATTAGACTTAGTTTGATATAAAGCCATATTTTATTTGCAGTGCAGAAAACTAAGATATTTTCAACGCCAGAGAGTCTTGGAGCTAAAAAAAGAGATCATTAATTTTGGTAACGTTTCCTTTAAGAGGTAAATAACCAGATGACGTTTTCTTCACCTTGTTTCTCTAAGAATGTTTGTTTTTCCAGAGATCGTTACTCGTAGTAACCAGTACACGTTGGCGTATACAGTGCATTGGTTGAGGTTTCAACACTTGTCATTAATTGGCCCGGCCTGACTGAAGCTACGTACCGGACAAAGAGAAGCATAAACAAAAAACACTAAATATTGCATATAAACTGATGGTTTTTTAGAACGGCTATCACTTTACAAAACACTCTTTTTGGCAGTGTTTGTCAAGTTCATCCACTGATTTTACGAAGTTTGCCAACAGTTTCGCCAATCGGAGATGTTCTCTTTATCCTTCTGCCTCCTTCCGTTGTTTTCTGTCATACCCAATGCAGTCTATGCTCAACTGGAAGGTTGGTTTTTCTTCGCTTTATTTTATTGATAGTCAAGTAAAATTGGTCGTGGGAATAACCTTTTTTGCATCGTATAATTTAGTGGGAAGATGGAGACGAATTTTTGTCATTATAACGATATGCATGTAAAACAACGCCTGCGGATAGTATTTTGTCACTAACTAACTTGGCTCTTTTTCGGTTTCGCTTAGTTACTTTAAAAATCACTGAAAAATTGCGGCCGGCATGTTAGAAAAATGTATAACAGTTCCTATTGTTTTACGGGAGAGGGAGTGTGATGCACATGCGGAGCTGTTATGTTTTCATTAAACGAGTGGCTGCCTCAAACGTAGTACGTCTTATTCAGTTTTAAAGGTCACAAAAAGTATGATTTTGCATGGCTTTAAAAGTCATAAATATTAAATAACTGTAGCACTGCCAGAAAAATCCCTAATTCCATGAAGAGGATAATTCCCCATTTTTCTTCCCCTGACCTCTAAGTTTTACTTTTAACTAACGTTTTTTACTTCCAGTTCACTTAACGCGTTCCTTTTTAAAAACCATTCATAAAGCCAAGGACTCTCTAAATTAAGGGGTTTCTTATATGCACGACCCATGCATCATAAAGAGGTAAACTAAACCATTCATTCTTTCTTGAATAATGATTCTTTAGAATTTACCACCATGTATCATCACAGTCTTCGTCAAGATGTTTTTATAAAGGACGAGTACCATTATTTAAACGTTCCTAAAGTTGGAACATTCACAGTGTATGACAGTCTTGACTGCACCTTTGAATGCCTCGGCAATCCTTCCTGTTTGTCCTTCAACCTGGCAGCTTACAAAGGAGCAGATGGAAACAAAATTACCTTAATAAAATGGCATTGACATCAAAATTTTTTATAATTATTTCAGACTCCATGTATGTCATCACCGTGCCAGAACGGAGGTACCTGTGTAGCGAACTACAAGTATCACTCGTTTGACTGCCGTTGCAAAGCAGGTTTTTTCGGAGAATTTTGCGAAAAAGGTAATTGACGTACTTATCTCAATTCAGACCGGGGCAGCCTTGGCCAAAATGTTGAATAACTTGAACGACGTTCAGGCTAGGACCACCAAACTTTGCAGCTTTTCCTTAAATTTATCAGGGAACATTTTAAAGTCACTGTGACGGGTAGGTCAACATTGATGTTACCATGGCAACCGAGATTTGACAACGTGGTTCTTCAAAATTTGCATTTCTACAAAATATAGATTTTGTTTCTATTTTTACTGATTGAATTATTATATTGCACCAGAAATGGCGTCAGATTACGTCATTGTGTTAATCAAATTATGACCAGAAGTTGGAAATGATGAGGAAATTGTTGTGTGTAATTTTAGTGGCCATAGACTGAGTTGTTTTGAAGTTCTCGAGGGGGACCTCCGAGGTCCCCTCCAGTCGCAGGAAGCAAAAAAAGCCCGGTCCGAATAGGGTCAAAGACAGAGCCTTTGTGCAAAGTCGGCTAAGTCTTGATAAACCATATTTTTATCTTAGTTTAGTTAGTTTGGTCTAAATACAGAACAAACGGGTGACTAATAACCTGGTTTTTGAGAACCTGTTAGGCTGAAATTTGTTATAGTTAGGCCCCCTCTATACAAGAACCTGTTCAGCCTAAAATTTGAAACAGGTTTCTATTTTCTAAAATCTTTTTCAAAAATTGGTATACTTGGGTAAATTCTATAAGTCAACATTCAGGATCCTTTTTGGAGACATATCAGTTGCCTTATTACTCCACCTGCAATTGTAATGGTATACAGGTTTAACCTAGGGAATTAGCTGAATACCACTGAATAGCTTAATTTTCGCCTTAATTTTTTTTTTTCTTCAGAAGATAAGAACCTGTTTAAGAACCTAAATTTGCCTAAATTTGTGCTAATTATCATATGTAAGAACCTGTTTAGGCCAACTTGGGAAAATTCAGGTTCTTAGATGCGGGCTTTTACTAAAACTGACACTGTCCCCTTAAACGTCTATGCCGCAGGCGTGAGAAGCCGTATATTTATTGTCAAGTGTGCAAAAAAATTCAAAAGTCGCCCTTTGGCGTCTTATGCACCTGATTTGGTAAATTGGGAAGATTGAAACTTGTTTCATGACAGTCATTATTTGTCAGAAGTGGATCTCTCTAAACATGATTTGCTCAACCCTTTTGCCCCTGGAAACGAATTCCTCAGATGCAAACAAGCAAAGTCAGGACAAAATTTTAATACTTGTTTTTTTTTTTAAAAAAATATTGAACTTCTTTCTTCGCTTTCTCTCCTTTCTGCTTCTTTTTATCTCTCTGGGTCCCCCACCCCCAACCATTTTTCTTTGTTGGCTGGCCATTCACTTGGCTTAATTTTGGCGCAAAAATATTCCTCCTCCACACAAGTCTCGCGTCAAAGGTTGGTATAACCTTCGTGTAGACGTTTTCTATCCCGTTTGTTGCATGCGTGCAACAACGGAAATAGAAGACGTCTGCATGCAGGCGGTTAAGGTGGCCAATGACCATTAAAATTGATGACGTCACAAGTGATGCGAGGAGCGTGGTCGGACACGGGCAGTTACGGGTAGTTTAGGTGTAACTCTGCTAATCTTATTTGGATTTTCTTTCCTGTTTTCCCCTTACCTATCCGTCCGTGATAAAGTGAGAGAAATAAGTTGAGTTAAATACGTTAACTACTTGAATCATTTTTTTCAGTTGCAAAGTCATGCCAAGACGTTTATAATCAGCTCGCAGAAAAGTGAGTAAACCCATGCATAGTAATTTAATTAGGATTATGAGGTCAGTAAGTCCCGGGGAACATTCGGAGTTGTCAGTACTGTGCAGTTAACCGCAATTATGAGCCACAGAACAGCCAAAAATCATTCGTTAATCCTCACAAATAGAGACACAATTTGTGTTGCAATGAGTGTCGATATCACTTGTTAGAACTTGTATCGTGGCTGATGGACTCTATTTCAGCCTTTGTTCTCCATCCTGGAAGCTTAATTTTATTAGAAGCCTAAATTGACGTAAAATCTGTTGAATTTTTTAAAACAAATGCCTGAGTTCGTATTATTCAGATAATATAAACCATCAACTATGAACACCACCATCCACTGAAGACCCTCCAGTAAAAAAGTTGTTGATGAAATGCAGTGGAACCCCGCACTTCCGCTTTATACGAACACCCGTATAAAACGAACGATGCGTTTGTACCGACGAAAATTCACATATTTGCTCATAGGTTAGCGTGGTTAATATGGAATACGGACACTTCTGTGTCCCGAGTCACAAACCCTCATATCAATTATCGTCAACTCCCCCAGGGGATACTGAATAAATTTTCATACGGGGAGGCTCAGCCCCGACGTCCAACTCCTTTGGGGGAACGTGTTACCTTTTTACACACCATTTTTGACAGAAAAGGTACTTTTTTTACTATACCGGCCATTCCATTCATCTCATGGTTGAGGGGTTCAGGCATTTTAAGGTGGCTGAACACAGTTTTGCAGGCGGTCAGCGGTAACTCGCGTGACGGGGCGTGTTCTAAATTTAATAGACAAACAAACATGGCGGAGAAAAAAGCGATGGTACACAGAAGAGAATTTCTCAAAATCTGCTCACTAAAACTTTGTGATATTTTTGCAGAATTTTTGCTTTTATCGTACTTTCAATTATAAGAACTTTAAAATGGAAGTTCAACAGACGAATTTTGTGACACATTTAATAATTACAGTACAATCATATTATTGATTATCTAAAAACCCGTCTGTTAAAATTTGGTCAAATAAGTTTCAGATGGTAATGATTAATAAGAGTAAGCTGTGTGCAAGTTTATAGGAAAATCTAATGAGCGAATTTTATGTAAACTGAACAAAAGGGAAATTTTAAGGTTGTATTCAATCGTTCATGTTGCCATGGAAACTACGAAAACGTCACATTTTACCTGTCAGTCAAAATCTTTCATTAGTATANTTTAATAATTACAGTACAATCATATTATTGATTATCTAAAAACCCGTCTGTTAAAATTTGGTCAAATAAGTTTCAGATGGTAATGATTAATAAGAGTAAGCTGTGTGCAAGTTTATAGGAAAATCTAATGAGCGAATTTTATGTAAACTGAACAAAAGGGAAATTTTAAGGTTGTATTCAATCGTTCATGTTGCCATGGAAACTACGAAAACGTCACATTTTACCTGTCAGTCAAAATCTTTCATTAGTATATTTTTCACTTGCCAAGTTTCAGCTTGTGAGCTGCAACCTTTCTCTTGTCATGATTTGGCAAATAACATATACTCACAAACTGCCAAAACTGTGTTCAGCCACCTTAAAAAGGGCTACCATACAAGGGTCAAACATGGGAAGAAAGACTGCAGCCTAATCAAAATCAAACTTGTCACGCTACTTTGCATCTCTGATTTATTTTTGTTTTTATTAATAAAATCGTGTTAACCCACAGAAATCTGTAATTATTTGAACCGTGTTTATTGCATGCAATTAATTAGTACATGATTGTGACAAGGAAATAGACAGTGTGAAGCGAGGTGGCCAGTGGTCACCAGTATCCATAACGCTTGGGTTGACGATAAATGAGATTCTTTGACTTAACGGGTCATAGAAAAGTGTCCGTTTGTCCTATTAACCGCCGTGTCCGTATTAAACTGGTTGGAGAAAATATGTGAGCATCAATATAAGCATGCAAAATTACAGGATGGCTAACACCTTCTGAGTAGTTGTCAAAAACAACTAGCCCAAGTCTTACAGAAAGTTCGCGGGTAAAATGGAGGCGTGAACTGCATCTCGCCTTTCTTGTACTTTGACGGCAGATGAGAAAAACAACATGCCGCCATTTTCATTTCGTTCGCCCCATATATATATTTAGAGTCCTTTAGTGTGACGTCATAAAAATTAAAATTTGTAAAATAATGGAATTTTTCGGGATATTATGAAAGAACAACATCCAAAAGGCCTACTTGCCAAAAATTAGTATCCCAGGGCAAATTGTCTTGGAGATATTAGCCCAGTTATGCTCTGATGACTCCGTATAATCTTTTTTTTCAATTTGACTCAGGTCATAACATTAGGATTTAGAAGGATTTGTATGGAGTGATCAGAGCTAAACGGGACTAGTATCTCCGAGACAATTTGCCCCACAATGCTAGTTTTTGGCAAGAGTAGGCCTCTCAGATGTTTATTCAAAATATCCCAACAAATTCCATATAGTTTCAAAAATGTAATATTTATGACGTCATCACTTTAGAACTCTTTGTCCCTTCCTACTGAACACTGGTTAGTCATCTTCAATGACCGAACTTAATTCGTCCAGAACACGTTATTCAATTAAACTTTATTAAAGCCAGTTGAAGAGCAGCACAGTGTGTTATCATAAAGCAAAAATAAATATCAACCTGTGCTGTAGGTGAAAGTAATTCAGTCAAAAATACATATAATCGAGTAGTGACGTAACTCCCAGTGACGACTACGCTAATTCTTTGAGCAGTGGCAAACGCTTAACTCAGTTCTATATCGATCCACCCTGGCTTAGTGCAGTACCATCCTGAAGGATTTTTTTTTTATATTTTTGGCGTTCCGATGGGACGATGATATGAGGGCAGCGTTTATATCAAAATTACTGGCAAGAATTACAATAAATCATTTGTAAATATTGTGTTTATTCGAGGACAGCATTTACTAGTAATCATGTTTGCTTCTATCTGCGGCTTTAAATCGAGGGCGGTGCTTAATTAAGTAGATATGATTCTCTTCAATCGTTGCCGGACCCCACAGAAAAAAAAAGTGTTAATGGGGCGTTGTTTTCCGACTTTGAAACAACAAGATTGCGAGTACTATGTTGCTATCGCAGCGGACAGTTAAAAACCAAAACATTTGGGAGATTCAAAAATTATAAAATTTACGTAAGAATGACGTCAGCAAACATGACGTCATAACTGAATATTTTGAGACATGCTGGTAACTAATTTGAGTGGCCTGACATTTTGCATTTTCAACTTTCGTGAAAAAAGCTAAACGGTCCACAAAGTTATTGTAAAATAAATCCCAGTAAAGAGGTGGGGAACCTGACAAGAAAAAAAGATTTGACTGAAACTGTTTTGAATTCGATCAAAAAGCGAACGTTATTTTTTTACAACCAGTTAAGGCACGTTCCATTTGTTTCTCCGACTGTTAAGAGCTGGCAAAATTAAAATGAGATTTCATTTTGTACAGGTTGAACGTGACTCAGTTGGTCACTCTTCTCCTTGACTCCGAACTAGTTTCAGTTCTCTGTCACTTTGGAAATTTTGGATGCGGAGATGGAGGATGGANATTCAAAAATTATAAAATTTACGTAAGAATGACGTCAGCAAACATGACGTCATAACTGAATATTTTGAGACATGCTGGTAACTAATTTGAGTGGCCTGACATTTTGCATTTTCAACTTTCGTGAAAAAAGCTAAACGGTCCACAAAGTTATTGTAAAATAAATCCCAGTAAAGAGGTGGGGAACCTGACAAGAAAAAAAGATTTGACTGAAACTGTTTTGAATTCGATCAAAAAGCGAACGTTATTTTTTTACAACCAGTTAAGGCACGTTCCATTTGTTTCTCCGACTGTTAAGAGCTGGCAAAATTAAAATGAGATTTCATTTTGTACAGGTTGAACGTGACTCAGTTGGTCACTCTTCTCCTTGACTCCGAACTAGTTTCAGTTCTCTGTCACTTTGGAAATTTTGGATGCGGAGATGGAGGATGGACACCGGTCATGAAGATGAACGGCAGCAAGGTAAAACATGTGTATTTGGCAACGAGAGTGGAAAAAAATGTATTATAGTTAAATACAGGTTTGCTTCTGTCAGCGGTAATTTTCCATTATCTTAACCTCCGAATGCAGCCGTTTCTCCTTGCTCCTCGCCGCTGAGGATGTTTCGCCAGAAGGAGCGTCTGCGCCTCAGCGACAGAAATTCCACGCTGATTACGTAAAAACTGTCCGGATTCTGGTCAGGAGCTCTGATTGGTCGACATAGTAGTTACATTGTTTTACATATTGTTTACGAATGACAGACAAAGACAAAAAGCCACAAAGACCAAATGTTTTGCTGGAGCTCATTCGCAATGGAATACAAAACTTTACCATAACCGACCAGGAGAAACATAAATTCACTTGGAACCCACTGACAACATCATGTAAACATTGGTTTACGTCATCAGTATGGAATTTCTGTCGCTAAGGCGCAGACGCTCCACCAGGCGAAACAGGTGTATTCGCAGGCTACAATTATCCCGAAAAATGTGAAAGAGCATCTTGGCTGTTAAAGAAAAAAAATTAACTACGCATTTCGAATGGGAAAACGGATGAATGAAAAAGCATGCTTTACACTTTACTTCTCGAATATTTCCTAGTATTCACTTTACTAGACGAGTGAGCGGAAATGAACAACGTTTAGGGAGTCGATTATCATGTAAAACCGACGTATACGTAGTTACGTACCGGCTCCCCTGTTTGCAGATTCACGTCGCTGGGTACAGTTGAACCTTCCCTGAAGGGCACTGACCTCCCGTGTTCGGTTATACTCAGTCTGAGACTGATTTTATTTACCATTTTAGTAAAAATTAGCGAAGGATATACTAAGTAAAATAATTAGATGATGGGAGTCACTGTCTTTCTTCTTTTCTCAAATTATAATGAGCTTTTTTCTGTTTAGAAAGCCTCGTGTCCAAGGAAAACATTGTTGCCAAATGGCGTCTCCAAAAACGCCAGTTTCAGTTTTTAAACACAATTTGTTGTATAAAATTATAAACTTTCAACAAGAGTCTTGGATCATACTTTCAGAAAGTTCAGCAAATTAAAGTGAAATTTACAGCAGGCTCGACCTTATCATACAGTCGAACCTCCCGAAAGCGACCACCCAAAATGCACAGGCTTGGTGGTCGCTTACGAGAGTCAACCTAGAATGGAGTGGTGTATTTGTTCTAAAAAAATAATGAAAGTTTACTTTCCCCTGCCAGTTACTAGCTAGTAGGTTTTATTGACAAGATCATTTAGCTATTCCATGTGACAGTTCATTTGCGGAAGTGTACTTAATTAGATAACGCGCGTTATAAATTTGGGGTTAGAAAATTTTACTTGTGTACGTGACTTCTTGTACAGAAATGTCCCTGAAACGTCTGACAAACAAAAACTTAACTTCTCAAACTGAAACCTAGAAATCTAAGTCTTTTTCTCAAGGGTAATGGTTAAAATTGTAGTTATAAATCGAACTAATAAACACAGTCATAGATGTGTAGACATCATGACAGCCAAAGAATAAATGCTTTTTACCCATTTTTACAATGTACTTCACTGTTTAGTAAGACCGTGTGTCAAGTGGTCGCTCACCGGAGGTTGAAAACAATAGAAAATTCTAAAACTGTCGGCCGAAATAGTGGTCGCGGTCGCTTGCGGGAGGTGGTCGTTTACAAGAGGTTCCAGTGTAAGGCTTTGACTGAGGACATTTTTGATGTTTTGGGAAGGTGGTCGCTTATGAGAGGTGGTCGCCTACGGGAGGTGGTCGCACGCGGAGGTTTGACTGTATTTGAAAATCTCCCGCCCCATTCTTTTTTGTAAGTGAGTAACCCAAAATTTCACACAGGAAGACACTCAAACGATGACTCCTTTTGATTTAACGTTCGATCTGAAGAAATCTGATCATGTGATTATTAGACAAACCACAGCAGAATAATAATAATATGATTAAAAGCAGTGTCACTTTATTTCTCCTATCCAGAAGACAACCTTGTTCCCACGGTCCTCTCGTACTCCCACCAGGGGAAGAGTAGGTGTGGAGCCTGGGAACGAGGATAGGCGAATTAACAAACCATGCTTAAATCTAATCAATCTTTACCTATGATAGAGACTGTTTTTTTTTGTTATAAATTTTATCACAGCAAACGTTTCACTACGACTCCAGTCTCTGGAGCAACAAAGAAGCCTTTAAACTTGACGGAGGGAGGACTGGGTTTGACTCACAGGAGACTAAACTTCCCTCCTACTGGAACACGTCCTTCTCCAAGATCTGCCTCGGTATGAAGATCAACAACCAGATCAATTTTATTGTCATCAACAAGCAGGCGAACTCCTTGTACTCTCAGGACAACTCGGATTAATATTAATCCGTGGATTATAATAATAATAGATTATAATATGGTTATTATAATCCGGTAATAGATTATTATAATCCAGTAATAGATTATTATAATCCAGCAATAGATTATTATAATCCAGTAATAGATTAAGGCACGGCAAAAATTGGAAGGATTAGATTATTATTAATAATAATCATCCGGATTAATATTAATCTCTATTATAATCCAGATCAGAGCTATGACAGACAAACTGCAGACATTACACGCTGAACAAGGGACTGACGGGACATAACACTGATCACATCAGTCACACGATCACTTGCATATGTTAGAGCTGGTAGCGATGTTGAGCCTAGAAGTAAATGAAAAGGAACAAGCGCCTCTGGGCCAGCGAATCCGTGCGGTGGGCATGTGTTTTTACAAGAAAGGGGACCTTAAGAAAGGGAATAACTACCAGCTGCGTAGGAATCGCGACAATCCCAAAGACACTAACTGTTTCGAGGTTTGGAGCCGGCATATCACGATGGCGACTATGAACATGAATTTCTCCCGTCTCTTGGCGCCCTTCGTGGATGAAAATATTATCTGGGAACTGACATGGTAAGTATATTGTATGTGATGTTAAGTTCACGAAAAAAATATTTCAGCTGTTTTAACAATTAATTATGGTGGGGCATCATGTTCATAGCTTTGCATTTATTCCTAGCTTAGTGGTTGAAGATGCAAAGTGGAGTAGGGGAGATTCCGGTCGACCAGCAAGAGCTCACAAAGTACGCGTGGTGTTTAACGTTAATGAAAGGGATGCCGAGCGAGTAGAAAACGCTTTCAGTGACTTTGAAGTGAGAAGATCAGAAGCATGAACATGTAAAATCTGTCGATGATGTTGTTGTACAGGAAAGTAATGCGCTGTAATACATGTAAACTAAATAAAGCAAAATTCAGAATTAAATTAATGGTGTCATTTAATTATCAATTCAGTTAATTCTACAGTTTGCAACATAATCTACATCTCTTGTCACGAAGAACATATGGCAAATATTCCTTATACGAAAGCCTACACGCCAAACATAAACAAGCAAATTAACAAACAAACAGATCCGCCAATCCTAATCGTTTAAGGTACGGCTCAAAGCTCAGTTATGGATTATAATAATCTATTACTGGATCTAATATTAGGATTAATATTAATCTGATTAATATTAATCCTACATAAGATTAATAGTAATCCTAATTGATCAAGGCACGGCTCAAACCTCAGTAATGGATTATAATAATCTATTACTGGATTATAATAATCTATTACTGGATTATAATGATCTATTACTGGATTATAATAATTATTAGCATTAATATTAATCCGATTAATATTAATCCGAGTTGTCCTGTACTCTCTGATCGCTGATGGGCAATACCGCAACACCTCACTGGGTCGCTGGAAGTGGAAGTCGCTGATTGGCTCTGAGGCCTCCTTGCAGAGGGCCTGTAACAGGGAAGGATTTAACGCTAAGGGTAACCAGCAGTATTTAGGTAAAGACATGGCCAAAGCAAGAATCGGTATCCTTGGTAACCGAGAACACAACTGCGATAAATGTGACTCCAGAATCGGGTTTGGCACTGGCGGTTTGTTTGATGACAACAATACATGTGGGAATGAACGTATTGATAAAAAGCATACAAAGGGACAAGGTTACATCCTAGTACAGTGAGACGGTAGTACCAAATTCACTCTAAAAAGCTTAAGTCCTTTGAAAATCATGTTAACTTAGCGATTTTGGCAGTCTCTTGACTTTATGATAATTGGCCATCGATGCCTCGTTAAAAAGTATTGTTTTTTTCAGTTCTGCTGACGCAATCGTAGCAAAGAGGACTATATATATCTTTGCTTAACACGTGCATCAGTTGTTATTACCGTAAATCACAATAGATAACAATGGATAAGGGTGGTGTATTTCATTAGGGCACTGAACAAAAGGAATGACAAAACAGGTTGAGCAAGTTAAGCTCTGCTAAGTTTCCTTGCCCCAGGAAAGAATTGTAATAGGGTCTGGAATGGAAGGGGGATCTGGATCACGAATCACGGGTTAAATTTCCGTACATTCACGAATCACGTTACCTTTTAGAGTCCGTCACGAATCACTAACTGATCAAGTCTATCAATGACCTCTTAGTGGTTGCTGGACTTTAACTACTGTATAGGCAAGAGTTGGTCTGAAATGACCCTGGGTTGTTGGAAGGAAACAAAAAGTATGTATTGTGATCAAACTGACGATTCTATACTTGTCTGTTTGAGCAAATAAAGGAAGACAAAATTGTATCTATTCTTTATTTTAGTGCGATTTAATTGTTATAATAATGCTGATAAGACTTTCGCTGATTTTTTTTTTATAATATCGATTATCTCCCTTTATCTAACATCGCAAAACTGTTATAATAGACTTTACTCACGATGCTCGGCATCTTGTTTGCAAGCGCTTTAATTTAGGATTGTTGGGGTAAAAGCAATGCTACGTGGTATTTCAAACAAGTCATACATTTTTTCAATACGAGTAATCGCGGTCAAACGCGAGGCGAAGATTCTAGCCTTGAAAAATGCATCCTTAGAAATTCGACAAGTTTTACGCCATTATAACATTAACTTCACATAAGAATCTAAAGGTTAGTTTAAACTGTTGTTATAATTTAAACATGGCTTGTATTGTTGCACAGTAATTAAAAAAAAAACTTGGAAATGTGACGTTTCTGTTTTTTTTTCTTTCCGATTCTCTAACCCTAACATTATGGAGCAAAATTTTTTATGGAATCTATCATCCTGTGGCAAAAGAGCCTCCTCTAGTCATGTCCAATACTACCGCACCATTACGGACCGTTAATCAGGGGCACCCAACGTCAATTTTTGGAAAATAACTGTTCGGAAGACGATTTGAGATCTAGAATTTTCGGAACATTTCTTGTAAAATTTCTTGCCTGCCTGCCTCTTCTAGGATTTTCGAACATCTAAAAAATGGTATGATTACCCTTTTTTAAAGGATTTTTATCCTCAAAAGGTCACCAAGAATTTTCGGGAGTCTTTTTTCTGGCTGAAATTTTCGAAAAGGTAAGTTTTGATCCCTATAATTTTCGGATCACTAGACTTTCAGCTAGGAAATCCGAACAGATGAAAATTTTAAGGGGATAAAAATATTCCTATATCTACCATTTAAATACTAAAATACGTTCAACAATGTTATGTTTAAGTGGTTTTGCACTATATTCTCGTTGGGTGCCCCTGCTTTAATTAAGAGCAGTTGACGGATCGTACGCTCCGGTCCGTATAAACCGAGAAAGCACTTTTCAAGAAGTTGCTTTGTAATTAGAATATTCATACCGGAGGATGGGTTGCAAGAAACCTTTCATGCGCGATTTCCGGTTACGGTCAAGTCATAATAGTGACTGCGCTATAATTTGAGGTTTTGTTCGAGGCTTATTCGCCACTCGTGGCTTCGGCCTTTTGCCGTAGATGACACCAAAATGTTCCTCTGCACGCGCGGTTGTCGTGTTGACGACGTGGTATAACCATATACCCATACGAGTGGATCTGTATGGCTGTTCTGTCTCCCAACTAAAAGTTCACCGAAAATTTACCGAATATAATATAGAGCTAGGCTGTGAGATAGTAGAGCGAACCGATTTTTTAGCGCCCTCGTTTGTTTCGCTTACTCTTTGTGGAGAAAGTAAGAGTTGAAGACTGTAGTTTCAAGCTCATTTATGTAAGTAAAACTAACAGTAGCTAGCAGTAACCAATNCCTCTTCTAGGATTTTCGAACATCTAAAAAATGGTATGATTACCCTTTTTTAAAGGATTTTTATCCTCAAAAGGTCACCAAGAATTTTCGGGAGTCTTTTTTCTGGCTGAAATTTTCGAAAAGGTAAGTTTTGATCCCTATAATTTTCGGATCACTAGACTTTCAGCTAGGAAATCCGAACAGATGAAAATTTTAAGGGGATAAAAATATTCCTATATCTACCATTTAAATACTAAAATACGTTCAACAATGTTATGTTTAAGTGGTTTTGCACTATATTCTCGTTGGGTGCCCCTGCTTTAATTAAGAGCAGTTGACGGATCGTACGCTCCGGTCCGTATAAACCGAGAAAGCACTTTTCAAGAAGTTGCTTTGTAATTAGAATATTCATACCGGAGGATGGGTTGCAAGAAACCTTTCATGCGCGATTTCCGGTTACGGTCAAGTCATAATAGTGACTGCGCTATAATTTGAGGTTTTGTTCGAGGCTTATTCGCCACTCGTGGCTTCGGCCTTTTGCCGTAGATGACACCAAAATGTTCCTCTGCACGCGCGGTTGTCGTGTTGACGACGTGGTATAACCATATACCCATACGAGTGGATCTGTATGGCTGTTCTGTCTCCCAACTAAAAGTTCACCGAAAATTTACCGAATATAATATAGAGCTAGGCTGTGAGATAGTAGAGCGAACCGATTTTTTAGCGCCCTCGTTTGTTTCGCTTACTCTTTGTGGAGAAAGTAAGAGTTGAAGACTGTAGTTTCAAGCTCATTTATGTAAGTAAAACTAACAGTAGCTAGCAGTAACCAATGGTTAAGAAGTGCGGGCGAGCATTTGAGTTTATAATTACCTTATATGACTGATGTTCAGTAACTGGCATGGCCTCTTTGTTTTTAAATCACACTCTCATTCCTGAAGCAGTTGTGGCATTGCTTGGAGTAAGTCATGTAGCGTGTAAAGCCCCAGATGATTCATTTTAATTTTTTTATCACCTGGTAAGCAGGAGCCACTTCGACCCCCACACAATATAATTTTTTAGATTAGGCAGCTAAAAAAATATTTTGGAAATTGATCCAAGAAAAGATAATCATCCCGGCCCCTTTCCACAGTAAGGCTTTTGTACTTCCTTACAAATTTGAGACAAGCTGAACGCTGCTTGGCGGACTGAGTAGAGGTATTTTATTGCCCTCTCAGGGGTCTCCAACCGTTGCTTTTCATGAACCGTCTGCTCCAAACGTAG